ATGGGACGGGGGTGGGGTGGGGGGGCAGGAAGATGTCCCTTGCAGACTCTCTGATGTCTAATGGGGCTACAAAGCTGGCAGTTCAAGCCAGATATTGGTGCCAGGGCTAGAAAGAGGGTACACACAAGCACTTTTTGGTGCCCGTGGAAAATAGCCCCCTGCTTGCTGGACTATTTTTGTTTTAAATTACAGCTGAGACCTTTTCAACCGAGTGCACACTTTAAACTCCGAGCGCCCAGAATTATAGCGCAAGCATCCTCGGGTCATCTAATAGCCAGTGGTGCCCATCGTTAGACAAACGAATCAGGAACTGCCTGATTACAGGGAGAAGCCCTGTGTTTGCCCCACCACATGATCTTGTAGCCTCCCACCGGACCAAGTTAGGCTTCCTGCTGCTAAATTCGGATTGGATTCTCTTATAGCCCTGGCTTCAGGATCAGGGGATCAGGTGCGAATCTCAGCTGCTTTGCACCCCAAAGGGTTGCAACCTTCCTGGGAGCAGGGAGAAGCATGGCTGTCTGCACCCTAAGGACTCGGGAGCCAGAAGGGCAATGCAAAGGCCCCTCCATTTGTTTGCTTTTTTATTTTTTTCGGTAAAATTTCCTGAGATTTGGAGCTCTTTGCTTTTGGGGCTTCGGCTCTTGATTTTTCCAGTTGGCAACAGGGGATGTGGTAAAATGGAGTCCCCCAGGCTCCAGCCCTGTGTCTTTTCCCTCTCTACAGGGTTACCAGACCCCCCCAGCTGTGACCTGTCCCCTCCCAGTTCTGCCCCTGCCACATGTAGTCGGATCTGCCCTCTCCAGGCAGCGTGTTGCTCTGGGGATAGGGTACATAGCTTGTGTCCAGCACCGGCAGTGACTGGGCACATCCCTGCCATCGTGGCTGAAAGAGTGGGGTGCCCCAGGGACCCATGTACAGACCCCCAGGCTCTCCTGCTCACCTCGCAAGCTGTTGGCCAGCTTGAACTCCCCTGCTGGCAGCTGCAGCCTGGTGCTCTCTGCTTCCAGCAGTGTTCTGCAATGGAGAATCGGGTGCTGGGTTATTCCAGGACCTCTGCCGAGCCACAAATGCCATCAGGGCCCTGCGGTGCTCGGTGCTGCACATACAGCTCGGTGCAGACCTTCCAGCCCAAAGATCCTCCAATGCCCACAAGGTGCTGCCTCCTCTCTTCCAGTCACAGGACCCTACCCCCTGGGAAGCCAGTGGGGAACAGACTGGTGCTTTAACACACAATAAAAGAATGGCTAACTCAGCACTTGGTGCGTTTTAATAAGGAGATGATCCTGCTAACAGACAGCCCAGGATGCTCCAAGGGGTCTGAGCGGGACAGCTCCAGCGTCCATTTATCTTAGCAGATCTTTGCAGCGGGGGAAAACTGAGGAAGAGAGAGGGGGATTGATGGGTGCAAAGGCACCAACCAGTGAGCACTGGAGCTGGGAGCAGGTTGGCGGCTCGGCCCCCTGCACTGACCTTGCCTTGCTGTGACTGAGCCAGGACAGTGATAGGGGACTTGACCAAGGTGTCACAGGGACATGCGGTTGCAGGGGAGGCAGGTAACCCCCCGGCAGTGCCAGGGGCAGCTCTGCTGAGCACTGTGCCTGCAATGGGACCGCCAGTCACCCCCCTTATCCCTTCTATGCCACCTCCTGCACCACCCTCCCTGGCCCTGCTCCATCCTGCCCCCCTCCCCACATCCCCATGACATCATGGCTAGCTTGGAGGCCCCATTCTCATGCTAATCAATCCTCCCCATGCTCCCTCCAGCTGCCCCTTGTCTGCAAGCCGTCTGGATGGGAAGCAGGGGCCAGGGCAGGGCTGGGGGGGCAGGTTCTCAGGGAACGGCTTTGAGGGGAGAAGGAAGTGCAGACAATAGACACGATCTGGCCCATCCCTTTGGCAAAGGGGCTTTCTCAGAGCAGGAGCTGCCTGTGAGGCTGGAGAAGCCCCTCTCACTGGCCCCTCTGCACATCCCAAGTGCTCAGACCCCTTTGCTGCAGGGATGTCGGGTCCCATTTCTCTTTTTGGGGTTTTTTGTTGTTCTCCCGCCCTGGCGGGGGGTTGGGCCAGAAGATCTACTAGGTCCCTTCCGACCCTTAATCTATGAATCTATGAATCTATGAATCCAGTGCCCCCGAGGCCGTGTGCTCCGGTGCTTCGTGGCATGGCATGGCGTGGTGTGACGTGGCATGTCTCTGGTAGGCAGGGGTAAGACCCACCTGTACGTGGCCACCTCCAGGCTGAGGGACATCTTGAGGTGCATGAGCTGCTGCCTGTCCTCCAGGACCTGGGCGATCTGGACCCGCAGCACTTGCTTCTCCTGCTCCAGGGCCTCGATGGCCAACTAGGATGGGAAAGGCCAAGTCAGTGGGCCAGGACATGCACCTGGGGTGCACCCAAAGCCTCCCAGCCTGGCAGACAGCACCCGAGCACCCTGGCGAGGAAGGGCCATGCTGGGACCACCCCTCCCCCTAAGGGGCTAAGGGATGTGCCCAAGGTGATAAGGGCAATCAGTGGTGAGTCCACAAGCCACCCCCCTGGCTTATCCCTTCCCCACCCACTCCTGGCAGACAGACCCATCTGAGCCCTTCCCTGTGCCCCAGTTTGCCCAGGAGGGAATACTGCGCTTACTTCTGGGCCGTGCTGGGAGAACAGAGCCCGGGTGCTCAGGCAGGTGTAGTAACAGGGTTGTGACACCCTGCCCTGAAGGAGGTGGCAGGGGATGTGGAGAGACAACAGGGGGGGAAGTCTGCTTCTCTGTTGCTTTCAGAGGAGCCTCAGTTTCCCCCCCATCATGCGCAACTCCGCCGGCACTCCTTGGTGCAGCCCCCAGCCAGGCTTTCCTCTCGCTCCCCTCCTATTGCTCCTGCTTTCCTTCCCACAGGAAGCAATTACTCTGCTTTCCTTCCTCATCTGAGTTCAGATGGACTGGTCAGGCCTGGCCTCTGTCCATCTCCTCCTGGGATGTGGGGAAGGAAGAGCAACGCAGCCTGGTCTATTCAGGGACCTTCCGCCTGGGGTGCGAATGGGATGAGGCAGCCAAGCCCCCGATCCCGTTACACCCCAGAGCCCAACAGCTGCCCCAGCGGGTTTCCTGCCCTGGCAGAGAGCAAGGAGGCCCTGTCATCTCGGAAGCACCTGAAATGCAGCTGGGGAAGGAGCTCTTTGAGGCTGATCACTGATGGGGAGGAAGGTCTGGGGGGGAGGGGGGCAGGGAAAGGGAAGCTGCAAAGTAAAGCAGGCAGGGGAAAGGGAGACGCCACGTGCTCTGCTCCTGACACTGATCCCGGAGGCTGGAGATTTCCTCCCTGTTAGCTCCTCATATTCCCCTCTCCGTGCACCTGGTCGGGGAAGAGGAGGGAAGAATTCCAGGCTGCCATATAAGGCCCATGTCATATTTATCTGCCTTGCCTTGACCTGGTGCCCTGGACCCCCTGCCCCCACCCTACCACCACCAGCCCTGCCCGGAGGAGCCACTTTGCAGCTGTCCGGCTACAGCTGTGGTCGGGCTCTTTTTTCCTCCCCCCCACCATTTGCTCAGTTCATGATGATACCCAGGGGAGCAGCTGCTGGACAGCTGGGAAGAGGAGATGGGGAAACTGGATCTCTGCCGCAGCGGGTGTGCAATGCCCTGGGGGGAAAGCAGGAGAGATCTGAGAAGAGATGCACTGGGTGGAGACAGGGCAGGTTTGGGTGCAAGGATCTGGACCGGCACCATTGATGGGTGGAGGGTTTGACTCTGGATTTGCAGTATCCGAACGGGCATTCAAACTGGGCCCGAAGCAAAATTCTCCTTCTTCAAGAGCTCTGAACTGGAGCCCTGGGTGCAACTCACCCATGGGTCCAACCCCCTTCCAGGGCCAAATCCCTTCCTGATTTACACTCCAGATTGACACAGAGTCTAAGAGACTTCTGAAGCCTTCACCTGCTCCGAACACGGCCAAGGCCAGAATGGGTCAGGGCAGCTGTGGAGCTGTCTTCGCCCCACAAGCAGGTCATGGAGGGAGGATTTTTATCTTCCAGACTGGACAACCCTCCTGTTTCCAGAAGCCTGGAAAGGTTTTTGTCTCTTCTAAGGGAGACAGAAAGACAGTGCATGGGACAGAGACAGATCCAGCACATGCTGTGAATACAAGGTCATCAGCTCACCCAGGCTGGTCAGAGACTCAGGGGATGTCCCCACCCCACGTCAAGATGCCTGATCTAAGATTTTAAATCACTGAGTGCCTGAAGCAGGGGGTGGGGAGTCGCTATCATGATCCTGCTTCTGCAGATGGAGAAGCTGAGGCACAGAGAGGGGAAGGGACCCAGAAGCAGGCATAGGACCTGGCAGCCCTGGCTCTCATGCCCTCGTGTAGGCACAGAAATGCCTTGCAAGCTCCTACCCACTGGGGCTGGTGGGTTTACAAAGTGAGGGAAGGGCATGCTTGATGGAGGTAGAAGCCAGGCATCCTGGCTCCCACTCTCCCCAGCCCTAAGCACCACAGCATGGCAGAAGGGGAGGATGGGGACATGTCCCTCACCCTTTCCTCAGGGCTTGGGACAGATGCCCTCCCTGCTCTAATGCCTGGGACAAGCCCAGCCCTCTCCGCCAGATCAGCCCAGCTCCTGGCATCCCCCCCTCTGAGACCTCATGCCGCCGTCTCCCACAGCCCTTCTCTGCACCTGCCCGGGCTGGAAATCCTCTTCTTTTTTTTAAAGAAATGTTTCATGCTCCAAGCCAAATCAAGTCCAAATCCATGAGTCAGTCCAGACCAAAAGTGGCCCTGCAACTGGCAAACATCCTGAACCCCCACCAAAAATCCTCTTTCCTGCATGCAGGTGCGCCTGGCCCAGCTGCAGAGAGAACCCAGGAGCCCAGTCGGCCTCCCCCTGCATTTAACCACCGGAGCCAGGCAGAAAGCCCAGGAGTCCCGCTTCCCCTCCCACCCTCCACATCTGTCCCTCAGAGTACAGTCCTGGGCCCCGGTCTCCCAGGCTCTAACCACTAGGCATGCTCCTTCCCAGGGACAGGACAAGGATGCTAGTCTGGTTCCCAGTCCTGAGTGCCCACCTGCATGCCCTCCCCTCCGTGGCCTTTGGACCCACCTGAAACTTCTCCGCCTCCCCCCTCTGCTCCTGCCACTGCTGGGAGAGGTTCTCCTCCAGCATCTCCTTCCTCGCCTTGAGCCCGGCCAGGTCCTTCTCCAGCTGCTGCAGCTGCAGCTGGTTCTGCCGGTTGCCCTCCACTGCCTGCCACAGGTTCTCCTTGGCTTGGCCCAGGGTGCTCTCCAGCTGGGCCACCTCACTCTTGTAGGTCTCCACGGCTCCTTTCCAGATCTCGGCCAGCCTCTTGGAGTAGTCTTCGACCTCCAGGGGCTGGAAGGCAGCCGATGGAGCCCGGAAGCTCTCCAGGCTGCAGGAGAAGCGGGCAACCTCCTGGTCCAGCTGGGCTCTGTCCTCCTCATGTATCTCCATCAGTGCCTCCACTTCCTTCTCCAGTTGGGCAGCCCTCTCCTTCAGCCAGATCTGGGCTCTCCTCTCCTCTTCCAGCTCCTTCTTGCTCAGCCCCAGTTGCCTCTTGGCTTCATCCCGGGCGGCCCGTTCCCTCTCGCACCTGCTCCTCACCTGCTCCACCTCCTCGTACAGGTTGTCCCGGGCCAGCTCCGCCCGGCACTTCTCCTTGAAGGCATCATCCAAGGTAGCCCTCAGCGCTCTCAGCTCTTCCTCGTACCTGCTCCTCCAGGACCTCTCAGCCGGGCTGCTCTTAGCTCTCTGGATCTCCGCTCTCAGCACCTCGTTTTCCTCTTCCAGGAACTTCACCCGGGCTAGGTAGGCTTCCAGGCGCTTGTTGAGGTCCCACATCTGGAGGGACTCTTTCTCCAGAGCACGTGCCCCCAGCAAGCCCTCCATGCTCAACATCACTGGACAACCGTGGTCCGTGGATGGGCAGAGAGAGGGGAAGTGTGGTCCAGAGGGGGAGAGGGAGCAAGTGGCCGGGAAACAGCCGAGCGCAGCTATTCATACTCCGGTGGGCGGAGTAGGAGGCCCCAGACAGTGAGTGAGGGCTTTAACTCTTCCGTGCCTTGGGGCGGTGGCAGCCTGGACGTGCTCCAGGCCAGGTCCTCACCCGTGCTCGAGAAAACTGCCCGGTGCCAGACCCGGCTATTTTTGGCTGGACTTGGGACAAATATAGAAGAGCTTCATCTTTGCGCCAAGCAGGGCTTGCCCAGCTGCAAGAGCTTTGCAAGGATGCTCTCATAGTCACATCATGAGGGGTGGGGAGGGAGGGAGGGGGCTGCAGACTGGAAATCAGGACACCTGGGCTCTCTTCCAACCCCCAGCAGTGGGACATGAGGAAAGTCCCCCTCTGAGCTTCTCTTGTCATTCAGGGGGGTGGTGGGGGGGTGTCGACTGCCAGGTTTCTGGGTAGGATACACGGCCTCCAAGTGATGGAGCCTGGGTGCACTGTGGGACTCAGAGGCATGTAGGCAATGCAAATCGATCTGATTAATAACCGGACTAATAAGGAATGCCCTTCCCCCCACCCCCAGGGCGGCAGCCTGACCACTTGGTGCCCTCCAGCAGCCCCTAATGGAGAGAGTCAGCTGTGTTAAGGCAGGTGCAAGTGTTACGTTGTGTTAAGAAGGATCTTGTCCCTGGGGGCTGGGCTGAGAATGTGCCAAACTTGTTGCACAGAAGACAGCAAGAAGCGTGCAACTGGCAGGAAACAGCAGGAGGTATATGGGGGGGGGGTTACACATGCACACGCAGACACGCACGTGCGCACATGCACACACACACACACACACACACACACACACACATGCACACACAGCTGTTTCTCACTTTCATGCCAAGAAAGATCCAGGAACCCTGCTACCCTGGGAGCTGCATCTCTTGCGAGCTGCTTGCGCTAGGATGCTGCTGTTTTGGTGCTGGCTTCTCCCTGGTCCAGTCAAGGAAGCAAAGCAGGCAGGGCCCTACACCCCCAGCCAGCCCCTGCCATGCCTCTTGGTTGTGAAGCACGGCCAGCCCTGCAGTAAAGAAAGACAGACAAACAGACGTCCCGTTACTTGTGTGAGCTCATCCCATCCTAGCCGTCCCCCAGATGCAAACCCCTCTCCTTCCTCTGCTGGTGGCAGCCTCATTTAAGCGGTGGATGGATGGGAAGTGACATTAGTCTCAAACGCTTTTTGGGGGGGGGGGGGTCGTTTAAACAAAATGGGTTTGGGGCAACTGACAGGCAAGAACTGTCAGGGATCAGCCTGTGCTTTCACCCCAGAAGGACACGCAGCTGGCCAGAATAGTCCAGGCTTTGTTTAATCTTCTGTCTGTCTGTCTGTCCATCAGTCTATCTGTCTGTCAGTCAGTTGATCTGTCTGTCTGTCTGTCTATCTCCATACATCCATATACTCATCTGTACTGTAATTCACCCATCCATCCATCCACCCATCCATCCAGCTAGATAGCTATTTACCCCCATCCATCTGCCCACACACACTCATCTATATCCATGACTCATCTATCTATCTATCTATCTATCTATCTATCTATCTATCTGCGTCTGTCTGTTGGTCAGTTGGTCATTTGATCTTGATCGATTGATCGATCTATCTGTCTGTCATTCTACCTAGCAGTCAGCGGGTTGGTCATTTGATCTCTGGCTGTCTATCTATCTCTATGAAATCTTTTGATTTTCACTCCCTGAAGAAAGAAAACCACAGAACTGCGGCACTCATCATCCTCATACGATGCGGTGGAAGCTGACAGCTTAACCCAGGGGTGGGCCATTATTTTGCGTGGAGGGCTGCTTACTGAGTTTTGGCAAGCCATCAAGGGCCATGTGACAGGCAGCCCAGGGCAGATTAATATTACTTTTCTAATTTTTTAGGGGCCCCGCGTGTTGGATAGAATGGCTTGGCAGGCCGCATCTGGCCCACGGGCTGCATTTTGCCCACCCCTGGCTTAACCAGATTCAAACAGAGATCAGACCCATTGTTGAAGGAAAGGGGAATCAGTCGCTATGGAGCAGGGAGTGAGGGGCATGGCCTCTGCATCAGGACTGCCTGGACCTTCAGTGCAACCTCTGCACTTGGACCTTCAATGCTGGAGGCTGACAGGGAGAGAGGAGCAGGGAAAAATCTGGTCTGGCCCAGGCCACTCTCCAGTCCAGCCTCCATAGGTGACCTACCATCCATCTGACCCAATGAGTGGCACTTCTTATGAGCTTTTGGGGGGGTTCGATAGAGCCCTGCCGCTTTGGCGGCCAGGGGGTGTTTCCCAGGGAAGTTTTTGCATTGATGAAACCACCTGGATACATGCAGAAAACTTTCTGATGTGATTTTTCCTCCCTGCCCCTCCCAAGCCACAGGTTTCAAAGCAGCATGATAAAGTCATGTTAGCACAGTCCTCTTTGCTCCCACCCGCATGTCCTGGGCCTTCATGTGTACAGTGAGGGTGAGTCTCCTGGAGCAAGGAGGGGGATTTCTGCACCTGCTACACCTGGCAATGAAAGCTGGCCTGTCCCGGCTCTGCACCACGGCTTGTCAAGAGCAAGGCAGCAGCACCCTCTGCTGGGATGCTCACGGCAGCACTGGACAGTCACCGACTCTTTGCAGTCAGCATTTAACACCAGAAAGGAAGGGGCCTCCAGGTCTAGCAGGCCCAGCGCCCTGACCCCCACAGTGCACCCTTTCTGCCTTCGCAGGCAGTCTGGGGCTGGACTGAATTGCCTGGCTGCCTTTGCAGCTGTCCTGAAAATGCAAAAAGAAAGGAGATAACCGGACCATAGAGCCACTGGTTCCACCCTTCTTTACAGCCTCGCGTCTCTGCTGCTTCAGCGTCCCACCGAAAATGATTCATGATGCTGATTATCCCTCTGCCAGTATCATCCATCCGCTCCCATTGCCCTGCTCCCTCCCTGCGGGCATTCAAGACATCTGGCCTGTTGGACCGCTTCCCAGAATGCTTTGGGAGGAAGGGCCATATCTCCCAGCAAAGTTTGGGGCGGGGGGGAATTCAAGTCTTCTTAGGACAAAAGCACATGGGCTTGATTCCTTCCTTCCTTGCACCCTCGGTCCTGATCCTGATGCATCCTTTGGACTCTTGACAGCTGTGGATTGCACAGACTTGACCCCCTAAGAGCTGCAGCAGGCTGGCGGTAGCAGGAGAGCTCCATATGTGCCCAGTCCCTAGGGCTGGGCACATATGGAGGGTTATACCTAGCCTCTCTGCAGGGTCTGAAGCCAGTACTTGTGTGATGGGCTCCTGCCTCCTTGTCTCTGAGGCTGTTGGGATAAAGGCAATTTTTTGTGGGGGGAAGCTTCTTACCCTTAAATAAACCAAGTGCTTCTCCATGCTGCTGTCTTGCCTGGAGAGGTGGTTCCCAGGGCGCCCCTGCTCTGTCAGCAAGCTCCTCCGGTTTCCAAGAAGCCAGCTCCCCAGCAGATTGGATTTCCACCTAATCTCCATCCAGACATCCTGTCTGGCTGCCTGGCTCCCCCCTTCCCATCCCCGCACCCCAGTCTCTGGTTTATTTCATGGACGCTGAATTGAAATATCATTAAGTGAGGTCAACAGCTCAGGGGGCAGGTGAGGCTGGTAATTCATCTCAGTGTCTCCGGGGGCCGCGGCGCTGAGAGATGGATCCATGCTGGGCTCAGAGGAGGATGCAGCTGGAAGGACCACAGCAGAGGAGATTTGGGGGCAGAGAGCAAAGAGACTGGTTGGCTAAGGTCAGCTATGGGGGGAGCTGGGGCTGGGTGTTGTGAGCTGCTGCAGGGCAATATAGTACCAAATTATCACATGGACAAGCACCCGTAGTGACTAGGAGCCTGTGCTGTGAACCCTGGGGACCTCAATGGGCTGGGCACAGAAGAATAACGCCCAGTGATGCTCTAGGACTACGTCAGCAGATCTCAGATACTTTCAGCAATGAGGGCAGGGTGTTGTACCCCACTGATATGGGCACGATCTGCTCAGCTGCACCCCAAGACACTAGTCCTGATGCCTGTCCGAACACTGGTCTGCATCTAAACTGAAAATCCTGGAGCATCCTCTCCATGATGGCGTTGGCAAGGAAACAGTTAACCAGCCCACCCAATCAGGGTGCCTGCCCCATTTGGGCTGGGGATAAAAGCAGGCCAAGGAGTAGCTGCAGTCTGCCAAGGTGGAGGTTTCTCTGCAAGGCTGAGGACCCTGCTGATGCTACATGAGCTGGAAGAGATGACCTGGGGCTTGAAGGGCTGTGACAGGACCATGCTTTGGATGAGGACTCTGTAAACTAAGCCTGGATTGGGGTGGAGGTGGGTTGGGAGGGTGCAATGACACCGCCCCGCTCCTTCCACCTGGCCTAAACTGTTTTACAGATGGGGAAACTGAGGCACGGAACTGGCTCAAGGTGGCTCTGCAGGCCAGAGCTGTGGGTAGTGCCCTGCTTCCTTCCCAGACCTCGTTCAGTGCTCTTGCCCCTTACCCAGAGTTCCTGACTGCAGTATGAAGCTAGAGGCAGCCTGCTGCTAGATCATGGCTTCAGGTGAGTCTCTGCTGCCTGTGCTGTTGGGTGGGTGAAATGACTTGCCTCAGGACACCCAGGGCAGAGCTGAACTGGTGCCTGGGGTCCCATC